TTTTTAGATATATATATTCCAATCATAAATTCTCTTTTTATCATTATTATTTATTAACTTTTTTTTTAGATATATATATTCCAATCATAAATCATAGTATAATAAAAATAAAAAGGTGTTCTTCATTCTATAAAATCAAAATTAGGACTACGAGTTCCCAAAAAAACCCGAATAATTATATTATAATTAATATTTCAATAAATATATTCTATATCCTTAATTATTTTAACTTAAATTTTTAATGATAAATCCATAAACTTTTTTACATTTGATATTTGTGTTATACTAAAAGAAACAGTTTTTAATTTTATTCATATCCTAAAAACAATTCCTTTGCATTCACAATAATTTATAGTAGAATAATGATAATTTAAGATTTTATTTATAAAATATATGAATGGGATTAGGAATAAAATTTCGTAATTAATAGGTTAGAATTTCCCCGTCGAAAGCGGCGAATACTTTTTAAGGAGGTAAATAGTTTTTTAGAAGAGTTTGCCTCAAAAAAATTTCTCTCACGTAGGAGCTGCGCCTCCCCACCTTCTACTCCTAAATCTTTACCTCCGGGGAGCATATAGTTTTAGGTAGGCCCCTGCCTTTTCGTTCATGTAAAGATACTGAGTATTATTGTTGGAAGGTTACCTTTTAAGTAAATAAATTATTTTAAAGACGCAGGATTGAAGGCTACATCTCACGTGTGTTTTTTTATTTATTTTCTCTTGCAGAAATCGTGCCAATCGCTTAAAAACATTTATAAGAAATCATGCTTGGAAAAGCCTTATGAACCTTAAATTTGATTTAAACATAGAAATACACTTAAAATTACATTTGACAAAACTGGGCACAGACTTTTTAAACTTTTATTGCTATGGAAATATAATTTGATCAATTGATAAAAGAAACATTTTTTATGTTTAAATTTATTATAAAAGAACATAGAAGTTAAATAATATATATTAAATTTCATTTATTTAGGATAAATCTAAATTCACTGGAAATGTTATATTATATCTATAGAATATTTATATAAAATTAAATGTATCTCAGTGTCAGTACTAATCTCTCACATGAACATAGTTGTAAATCTATTAAACTACAATAAAAAATAAATATAACTGTTCCAACCCAGGGTTGCCATGTCTCCCTCCATCAGTGGGAGTCTCCCACAATTTTTTAGTTTACCCACATACATCTCACTCTCACAAAACTCCCACAATTAGAAATCTCCCACAAAAAGCTCCCACAATTTTTTAATTTCTCTCACAATTTATTTTTTAGCATTTTAATGTTTTTAATATATAAATAATAATTTTGAGAGACAGTATTTGATTATTTTTATATTTTTAAAATAAATTTTAAATATTTATTCGAAAAATATGTCTAGTTCTTTTATTTTATTTTTCCGCTCTAAAATATATTTTTTATAAAATTCTCCAATTCTCCACTCGACATTTTCAAAATTTTTGTGTTAGATAGAATAGAAGTTAGAACAGTATGTATAATTATTATAAATATATTTTAAATTACTTAATATATTTTATATCGTTATCAAGAATTGCAGTGCTCCACTCGACATTTTCAAAATTTTTGTGTTAAAAGAATAGAACTTTTAGAAGTGGATATTATTCTAATCTCTAATTCTTTTAAATAAAGTTAGTGGATTAATAATATTAATTAAATAATATTTTTCACTACTTACTTTTGTACTATTCCATAAAGTATATGTCAAGCAAAAGATTATAAATATAATTGATATATTATTCAACATTAGCTAAAAATCAAAGTGAATTTACCGAATTGATGCAGCACAATAATGAATTAATACTAATTGGCTGTATATGCCATATATTGCATAATTCTTGCAAGAAGGCAATGAATGTACTATCTGTAGATGTCGAAGTAATTGTGATGAAATGTTTTAACGAATTTAGTTCATCAACTAAAAGAGTCACTGAATAAGAAGAATTGGTGGAGTGGTCTGATTTGGAATGGTGTGAGTTGTTGCGATATGTACCTATCAGGTGGTTATCATTAATACCTGCCATCGAGAGAATTTTAAAATTTTACGAACCCTTAAAGAAATATTTCTTAAATAAAGATTTTAAAAGCTGTCCTAAAATTTTGAAAAATTTTTTCGAGGATGAAATGTCAGAAGCATATTTGGGATTAGTTTCACGTGTAGGAAATCTACTTCATGTAGTTAATATTTAGTTGCAATCAGAAGATTCTTTATTGATAAAGATTCACAAAATCATGCTACAGCTCTGTTCATCTCTACAGTTAAAAATAGATAATAAATTTTATGGCGCTATAGCTAAAAATATCATATTAAAATGTTCAAATATTACTATAATTAACGTATTTTTAAATGAAGCAAATATTTTTATTAAGACAATTTTGGAATATTTACAATCAAGATTTGATTTTAATAACTCTATTTACAAATGTATAAATATTATGACCTTGGAACAAAAACCATCATTTGATGGTTTTTGTAATTTAATAAATATATTAAAATTACCGATAGACAGAAAGCCTTGTTTGAAGAGATTGTAATTTTTTCCATTTTTTATGATTCGCCAGAATACTTAAAGTTAGATGGTCTAAAAGCAGAGGAGAAATGGGTGGAATTTTTTATTAATAACGATAAATCCCCATGCATGAAAAAATTTGCGAGTATGTTTTCTTCTTACCTCATTCTAATGCCTCATCGGAGCGCATTTTTAGCCTGATGAGGACTGCCTGGAGAAAGGAGAGAAATCGAATTGCTTTAACAACATTAGAGGCCGAGTTAATAGTTAAATAAAATTATAAAATGTCATGCCAGGAATTTTATAAATATCTTAATAACGACGGTAAACGTTTAGTTCCATTATTTAGATCTCAAATAAAATATAATTAACTATAACTATTTGACTTTCTATATTTTATAAAATCTTATTGCATAAAATCAAATAAATTTATTTTTTACATTGTAAAATTAATATTTTGAATATTTTGGCAAATCATAAAAATAAAGAAGCATTACAATCTCCTCAAACATGACATCATATTAAATCTTATTAATAATTATCCGATAATAGTAATAATATTCTTACTTTCGTATTTATGCAGCATAATTTAGTGAACCTTTATTAAATTATATTCTTCTGATTGCAACTTCATATTAACAGCATATAGTAGATTTCCTATATGTAAAATTCCTAAATATACTTCTGCCATTTATTTTTGAAAATTTTTTTCAAAATATTAGGACAGCTTTTATAATCTATTTATTTTTTAAAGGTTTGTAAAATTTTAAAATTCTACGATGGCGCGTATTAGGAGGAACCTGTCAACCAACATTATGCTGACTCAATTCTGTAAATACACTCTGGTTTTTGCCAAACACTGAGGAATTATCAGATCAGAAAGCTGCCATGCAATTCATTGGTAATGCCAAATCTGCCATATTTACCATTATATATGGTTAGCTATGTCTTTGGATATTTCATATCTGGCGAAAAATTTTTTAATAGTTTTATTGAAATGACATTAATTTTGTTAAAATAGGGGAGGATCAAGGAAAATGTTTTGATATCTCCTTATTAGATGCATCTGTTAGAATTGCATATGTTTGCACATCTTTCAAATCGTCAAGAATTGACCTTCTGGTTTTATATCCTAAAACATTGATGATAGCCTTGCTCATTTGTGTTCTACAAAGTATACTTTTCATTTATATTAGTCGTTAAATATTATGGGGAAAGATTCTACCAACATTGTGATGTTAAGTTACTCTCTGAATGTTGTACTGCATGATAGGTATTTACCATTTCCGCAAATGTAGTTGCATCTGTATTATTTCTTATTTTTGAAGAATATTTTTGTTTTGCAATAGATGTTGATAGACTGCCCTGTACTGATTTATGCTTTGAAGATTTTTGATGCCTCAAAATATCATATTCCCTTCCCCCATTGTATTAACTAAATAGTGTAGAACAACTTCCCCGCACTGATTATAATTATTTATTACATTGTAAATTTAAAATTGTTTGTTTTTTTTTAAATCTTATTTATACATTAGCATAAAATATATTTTTTTACATTGTAAAATTACAATTTTTTTATAAATTTTTAACTTGTTTACATTCTTTTGTATTTAAAAAATATCGTTGGTTATTATTTTTAAACAAAATTAATATATTATAATAAATCAATATGTTATTTTAATAATAAAGATAGTATTTAAAAAATTTTATGTCGTACTATAATTACCTATTTTGAAAAATAGTAGCGTATTTTATTTTGGAAAATAGTTACCTATTTTATTTTGAAAAAGAGTTGGATATTGTATTTTGAAAAATAGTTGGCTATTTTATTTTGAAAAATAGTTGGCTATTTTATTTTGAAAAATAGTTGGCTATTTTATTTTGAAAAATAGTTGGCTATTTTATTTTAAAAAATAATTACCTATTTTATTTTGGAAAATGGCCGGCAAAAATATTTTTTAGCAATTTTCATATTCCTCCCACAATTTTTATATTACTCCCACAAAATACCGAATTTCTCCCACAATTTGAAAATTTTGACCTGGTAACCCTGTTCCAACCCCCATACCAAATATAATAAAATTTCATTTAAAGTAGATTTAACTATTTTATTTAACACCGATAAGCGTTTAAGTATAAGGCTAATCTTTATTTTCACACAGGTAACTGCAGACGGCAAAAAATTGATGGATGACTCTTGTCATTTTAACCCATATATCCTATCTTTTATATAATATATTCTGGTTAAAATCTTAATATCGCCTAGGTTTATTTATTATAATTGCCTATTTGGCATATCAAATAAATAGGCAATTTTTTCCTTGCATTTTAGAACACATACGATTCATATTCTAGAAATATTTAAAATCTATGGAATCTATCACCACTAGGGAAAAATTAATATACTATTAAAAAATATATTAATTTAATTAATATATTTAATGCATAATTAGTGAGTTAATTAATGATATTTAAGAGAAAATTCTCTTATAAATATATTAAGAAAATAAGTTGAAAAAAAAAAATAGAATGCAAAATAAAATATTACATAAGAATTAAATTGAGCTTCATCAAGGAAATATTTATAATTCATAAATGTATTATGTCTATTGTGCTTAGTCTAGTAAATTTGGTCGAAATATGATATGAAATGAATTATGAATGGATCAACAGGCTTTTATGAAAAACTGTTGGTTGATATTGAATTTATATCAAGAGATTTATTGGTGGCTTCAGTTAACATTGAGGGGATTATATATAGAGGAGCTTTGTTGAAGACAATAAGGTATATTTTTATTATAAATCATACAGAAGTTAGGTAAATATATATTATTTTTACTAATTTATCTAAAGCCAAAATTTCTCAAGTTACAAATTTGATGAATATAATGTTGATATAAATCTTAGTTCAAACAAGCTTGAATCATTTGATAAACCTTCAATAGTTGATACAAAAACAATGGTTTCATGCACAATTGTTGAATCTAGTCATATTGATCAGTTACAGAAAAAAATTCCTAATGAGGTAAAAGTTTGCAAAAGTTTAATGTCTCCTGATTTATATATTATGAATCCAACTAAATCTACAATGACTGTTTATAATAACAATTATGCTGATGATACATTAGCAATTAATCAAGATTATATTGGATTATTAGGTATGATCAGAAAATATAAATGAAAATTTTTATATTTTAAACATATTTCATTAAGTATATTTCAAAACTATTATAATTATAAGGAATTAAAGATATAACAATTAATTTAAAAATTATCATACATTCTTACACTAATGTCTAATTATTTATGAAAATATAAATTATAGTATGCATAATCCTATTATTTTAAATTATTTTAATAGATATTTTAGAACCTTTTGTAGTTGATGAAGGCCAAGAATTGTGTAATGACAATCAAGAACTGTTTGATGTGGACAAATTGATTGAAGGAGAATATTCTAACCAAGAACCTCTAGACCCCCTTCCCACATTATTTACTCACAACTTTAACACCACTAATCTAATTTCATCTCAAAATAATATTGACTGCAAATATAATAGTTTTGTAACAGATCATATTCAAAGAGATGAAAATGATATTAATTTTTCAATTCCATTAAATTCTAATGAATCTCTGCAAAACATTTTAAAATTAAATGAATCCCAAGATATTTTGAACCATTCATATCACCCATTTTCAAACCTAAATTTTAAAGAGAAAAATGAATCCAAGATAATTTTTGCACCTAGTTCATGTTTCATATCCACTATCAATAATAAAGTATCTTCATTATCACTACATGATTCAAAAATTTCAGACATATTACCTACTACTTTTAATACATATAATTATGTTAACACCAATGCAATCAGTAGTCATACATTAAAAGACTCTATGAATGATAATCCTTCTTCCAGTTTATTAGCCAATTCAAGCAGCATCATAATAAATGAACCTTCAAATACTGTTCCAATATGTGATTTAGAAGCCAATTATCACCAAAATATAACCCCCCAAAATTGTTTACCTAATGATAGCAACAATATTAAAAAGATACCCAAAGGCTGTTTTACTGACCTTTCCCCTGCCACCCTTTTTAGATGCACCTATTATCGGAATCCTGCCATAATTGCTGATTATTACCATACAACTCCTTTAACCCCAGCTATATTAAATGATAAAGGCAAGGATCAAATGGAAATATCATGTAACTCAGAAATATCAAATAAAACTCATTTTACTACTGATCAATACAATAATATAAAGTCAAAATTAAACAATATAGATAAATTTCAAGTCATGACTCAGCCTCATGCAACTTATTATGGGCGAGATTGTATTTGGCCTTGGCCTTTGCCTACTAAGGCCCAGGTTATCAGGAATGCTAAAAGGTTTTCTAAATCACGCCGATACATCTGTATTAAGTGTAAAAGCAAAAATGAAAATAATTTAGATGTTCAAGGTGATAAAATCTCTGTTAACATTAACAAATTCATTGAAACAGATGTTAATAATGTTGATTGTAAAGTTGAGGAGAAAGTTGACATCTCCAATAGTAATGAAAATGGGAAGGACCGAATTGATGTATGCTCATCGCCCATTAAATATACACGTCCTCTGACTAGATCACATTTATTAGGTTTAAAATATATATATAATAACTTTTTGCTTTCTTACATTTTTATTTTTTGTTATTTGAATATTTTTGAGATTCTTGATATAATATAATCTTAAAAGCAGAGGTATGACACACACTCCTCCACAATAACCACATTTCCAAGAGGTTTGGGCTACAGGAACCTCAAATGATGGGTAGAGGTCTCACAAAATAAAACTTATTGTTTCTGGCGCTTACGTACCGGAAATAATTTTATGTCATTTTTTTTAACCATACTGACATATTTGAGCTAAATGATATAGAACTACAAAATACTTTAGAAAATACTTCTATAGAAATGTATTTTGTTATGTGCAAGCTACATTTTAAAATCGTTCAAAATTAGGGATATAAATTTCCAAGGAAATTATCATCAGAGGAAATTTGGGGAAACCCCGATAATTTACTATAAAAAGATATATATAGGTTTGTTTTTAATGTTTTATTGAAAACATATGGACAGACTATTAACACATTAATTCGCGAAATATATGCATAACAACAAAAATTTTCATGTTTTTTATCAATCTATAATTTGGTTCTGCAGTGATACTGCCTTATATTTGTTAAATATCTTCCTGGTGTGAATGAATGCCCGAGGAACGTTGGATAAATTGGATTTATCCTATTCCACTCTATTTTTTTTAGATTTAACTTTGCAAAATATAGGACAGGCTATTAAACATCAAAACTATACCTGCCCAACGAGTCGGGCTAAACATATTTAAGGAAATAATCATATTTATATCTCTAAGTAGTTGTGTTTTCTTATTCTTTGATTTTACATGGTTTATCAATGTTATTAAGCCCTATTTTTAAAAATAGCGAACTATCGCTACCGGTATTTTACAAAAAAAAAGTAGCGCAATATTAGCTATTTTTTAAGCTACTAGATTTTTTGAAAATGCAAACAAAAAAAATATGATCATAATTCAAAATAAATATAAATTATTTATTTTTATTGCATTTCAATAATAATAACATTTCTATACTGTCGGCCCCTAGTTTAGAGTGACGATCAGAAAGTATAAACTTTGCCGTACTAAATAATCGTTCAACACTGGCACTTGAGGGCATTGCATACATATTTTTTATGTAAGAAAAATCATCTGAATATTTTTAGATTTAAAAAATGTGGCTAGAAGAATTTCAATAGTATTATTTATTTCAAAAAAGATACATCTGTAGTGGTTGGCTTTTTTGATCTGGCAAGGATATCCTGGTTTGGTATAACATCTTTTCGTCACCATTGGCCTATCAATTTGCCCTTTGGATTCAGTCAAATTAATATATGACCGATTCAACTTGAAGCTAGGATGACTGAACAATAGCAGCTATGTTTATCATCCAGATAATAATTTAGAAAATATTATCATTATTATATAGATGAGTCATATAATAAAATGAGGTGTTAATATTATTTATTATAATTTTTAATCTAATTCTTAAATATTTATGTGCAGCTGAAACATACCTTGTTTGGACTGGGCCATAAAATCATACTCATCTCAAAAGCTATTATAGATACAGCGTTGATTCAAATTTCAGTATTGGACTACACGTTGATATTAAATTTGTTTGATATATTACCTTTAAATATTTTCTCAAATTGAAGCTACTAGTTGTTAATAAAACCTTTTGGCATATCTTGCAACGAAATTTATACCACCCTGTGTTAATTATTTTTTTTTCAATATTAAAATATTTTGCGAATTTAGGAAAAGGAAATTTTATATTATCATTATTTTACCAGGAAATTAATTACTTTGTCGATATGATCTGTACCAAAATTATCTTCAATACCAATCTCTATTGTCGACATTTCTAATTATTTTGAAAACTAGATATTGAAAGTGGCGCGCTATTATAGCAGCACAGTATTTTACAACGCTTTTTGACCTATTGCTACTAATATTTGAATTGGCGATATTTTATTTGCTGTATCAAGTAAATTAACTCCTTGCACAGCCAATTGCATTCAACAGTTTGATGTATATTTGCATTATCAGTTATTATGGTGTTTATTTTTATGATTCCCATTTCTTCAATTACTTTAATATATTCCGTCGTTAGACATATATTTCCCCGTATGCTTATTGGTCCCTATTTCAATTGATTTATAGAATATGGTATAGGTCTTTGGGGTTGCTATAATAAAATTTATAACATATTCCTCTTATATTCGTTCACTCATCACTAGTGAGTGTCCAAATTTAAAAATTATATAAATAAAATATACTCAAAAAAATATATTTCTTTACAATAAATGTGTCAAAAATACTTTTTGCAACATTTATTTCGTCAGTGCTCAACTCTGAGAATATACTGACTCATAATAAGAAATATTTATACGTACTTTAACACATTAAAAAATAAACCATATATTTATAATAAAATAAAACAGCAACAGCTCAAAATATCCCCGGTTCAACATCCCGTAAAGATTATCACTTTCGATTATCTTCCGACAAAACGAATCATCTTTCCAACATCAAATCTAACCTATCCTCCTCCATATTAATGGCATCCAAAAGGGTGGCTTCATCCATGAGTAAACGGAAAAATAATCACGAAATAAAGTTCAAATCGACCTTCAATAATCCTATGGTTCCTCGTCATTCTTATTACACCATTTGTACACCAAATTTAAGTTTTTAATAAATAATGCTTCATTATTTTTTTAGTAATTAAAATATATACTTATATGAATATTTGATTATTGTTTCGAAAAGAACGAAAAATATAGAAATTTTTATATATAAAAAAATGGATAATTTATTACCATTGTAAAGGCGCTAATGGCAACGACCTTATTGGAAGGCCTTGGGGGGAAATACCCATTCCTAAGTTGAAATTAAAGTTAAAAACGATCAGCGCAATCTCCTCAAATATTACCAAACCTTCGATCGTTGCTTCTAATATCCCGCCTCCCCCCAAATACTTACAAAGTAATGAAAATGGTATGACCAAAAAGGGTGCTGGATTGAAAATGATATTTTCGCTCAAGGATATTCCGAGTAATAAGCTAACTACCCAACACAATCACCACCCTAAAAATCAAGAAGCCCATATATTGGTCGACAAAAAAAAACGTTCCGACGAGCACCCAACCAGTTACGATGACGGGAACGATAACAAAATTAGCGATCAACTAAACAACGATAAAAATATTGTCCACATACATAACGTGGAGAAAAATGAGGAACCCCTTGAATTGAAAATGAGTGATCACCGAAAAAGCAAAAGACGAGGCAAAAAAAAACGTAGGAAGAATAAGCATATTAAACCCAGCACTATTCTAAGGGAAGATTCGATAAAGAATAGTGCCGTATTAACTTGCCCCATAGTTTGTTTACCCGTACCCGATCCCGAAAGTAATGATAATCCCGGTGGTTTAGTGACGAATGACCAATTGAGCCACGACGTGTCAAATGTCGCATTAACTCAACAAATAAATGATACCCATTCAATGGACGAAGAAGAGATCGAAAAACCGTTAGTCATAGATTTGCCCGAGTCCGACACTATTTACAACGATATTCATATTACCGAAAACAATCCTGACAACTCTAACTATCCCGATTATAATGAACGGCGCAGTTCGGTCATAATAACTAATAAAAATCATTGCGAATCCGTTAAATCACCCAATCAAATTCGGTATAGCAAAAGAAAGCGAACATCGACACTTCCACGCGATCTCACCGATAAAACTTCGCGAAATCACGATATCAAATTTTTCCATAATTTAGGGAAACCTGATAGCCCTCATTTTCACGATAAAGACTCCAAATTCAAAATGTCTAATGAAATATTACATTCCCCCGTGGAAAGCGGAGATTCCGAATTCCGTCCAAATGACGTTATTTTACCCGCCAATGAGCAAATAAATCTCAGCGAAACCCGGTCAAATTCATTGGTATGTCCAAAATTACCCACGCATTCATTAAATGTGGGGGATATCGTGTGGGGTAAAATTCAGGGGTATCCATGGTGGCCAGCTAAAATTCTTGAATTTCGTTCAAAAATTCCTGAAATTCGCGCAAAAAATTTGGACTTATGTACACCACCCGAAGAAAATAACGAAAATAATACAGGTAATTATTATGAGGGCTAAATTGTTTTCATACGGCTGATATTTTTTTTAATACTTATTATTTTGTTGGAAGCATCTAAGACAATTTAGATTTTTTAAGTATCGCTAATGAATATACAATTATTATTTTCACTTTTATTCAGGAATATTTTGTTGAAAAGTCCTTAATACCCGCTATCAATATTCCTTATATGATAAATATTAATCTTAACTTATTGTTCTCTAATTAATAGCCAACATTTTAACCTTTCAATTAGAATACAACTAAGTTTCCAAAGATGACAACACCTTTTTTTAAATGACCATTCATAACAATTAACCCATGTTAGGTGACGAAAAATTTCCACCTTCTATTAGGCAAGTTCCACTAGTATGCTTAATTACCTTTCCTCGCTCATTTATTCCAATCAAAATGAAAATATTTTTCATTACTGGGTAATTTAAAATATATTTGATAACTTTTTACCCATCAACCTTTTAATCTTTAAATAATTTTGAATGCTAGACGAACATCATAAGCGGACATTCATTTCTAAATTGCCCAAATAAGTCCTGCTATATCATTTGTCAAGAATATACGATTTTATGAAAATTGAGTTAAGTTTTAAAGGTAATTTTGTTATTTTGTAGCTATACTATTAATTTAACATAGACTTACAGATCTAGATAAAGGTCCTCCCTTTATATACTGGCCAGACCATATACATATTTTCTTAAATAAACCTAATCCTCTAAAAAAACTCAATAATCTGGGCCGGTATAGGATTGTGAAATCAATACCCATTGTAGTTTCAATACCGTATTGATATTATCATTGTAGATTCAATACCGTAGGGATATTTTGGTATTGTAGAATCAATACCGTATTGATTTTTAAAAGATGTTTTCATCCCCTAAAATATATCGGCGGCCATTAAAATTGTAAAATATCTATTCTTTATATATTTTTTCATCGTTTCAAATATATTGGGGGCCATTAAAATTTTAAAATATTTATTATTATATATTTATTCATCGCTTCAAATATATTGGGGGCCATTAAAATTTTTAAATAAATATTATTTATAATTTATTCATCGCTTCAAATATATTGGCGGCCATTAAAATTATAAAATATTTTTTATTATATATATTTTTTCATCGCTTCAAAAATATTGGCGGCCATTTTTGATTGGTAAAAATAGATTTAAATGATTATATAAATGATTTTCTATTCTTTTATATAATTTTTAGGGAGTTTATTTATTTTACAATTCTTAATATCCAGAGTGGTTAAAGTAGCGCGCTAACTTTTTTTGTAATTATTTAATTTTTTAGCGCGCTACTTTTTTTGAAAGTAGATAAGTAGCCGCTACTTCGCTACTTTTAAAAAATATAATGGAGGTAAGTATAAACATGAAAATTTAAATATAATATCATAATTAATTATAATTTTTATGATTTATTATTTAATTTTGAAATTAAAATATAATTTTGTAATTTATATTTTCATTTGTATTATAAACCTAAATCACGTGTTAATTATTTAAAATGTCATCGCCTATGGATATCCATATCGTTGAAAGTGATTCAGACAATAATATTAATGAAATGGAAGATATCAGGGTAGAAAATGATCTTAATAGCTTTCCCATTCCCTAGATTTGAAAATTTTTTAAATAAATTTATAACCAAGACTGGTTACAATCTATTTGTTTAGAATGTAAATTGATTTTATAATTTATACAGTTTAGCCAATGTCCTTAGTTGATAATCCATCATTTGCCATGATGATTAAAACTCTATCCCCTGTTACAACAATTTTATGCCGTCAGACATTAATAAATAAAATAGCAGATAACTTTAAAATGATGAAAGATGCTCTAATGGTAGAGATATCATATATATGTACCACGGGAGACATAACATAAGGTAAAAACTTATTTATATTTATAAATTGATCTGATTAAATATTTTTGAGCTTATTTGGGAATCACCAGCCAATGGCTAACCCTAGAACTTAAAAAAGAAGATCTATGGTATTAGCCCTCAAAATGATAATAGGATGCCAGATATACGATGTACTTGCAAATAAAATTTTTGATAATCTATCTTATATTAAAAATATGTATATAAGATTAAATACGCCCTTACCCTCAAGAGCTAGTGTCGAGAGATTATTTAATAAGGCAAAAACTTTCTGATCGTCGCTCTAGACTTGTGGATGATAATATTGAAATGATTTTATTATTAAAATGCAACAAATTACCAAAAATATTTATTTTTAATACATAAATTTTTTTATAATCAAAACTATTTTAATATTTATAAATGTTGATTTTTATATATTTACTATACAATAACATTATAAGCAAAAAATACAAAATTTGTTTGTAAATTTTTTTTTACAAATAACGATAGCGGTAGTAGCGCGGTACTTTTAAAAGTAACGTTTAACAACTCTGTTAATATCATATATAAATTTTATTTGTTTAATATATACAAATTTTCTTCATACATCATATTATTGAAATCTCAAGCCTTAAAATTTTAATAAACAAAAGTAAGCTAATCACAAACAAATAAGGTTTTCTTTTATGTCAAAGCATCACTATCAATCACTCTGATTAATCATTTCCTCTTGACTTCTTAAAATCGTCATTTTATTTATTAGATGTATATATAATTATATTTTTAGCTGATTAAAATTTAACACTTATGTTTATTGAATACAAAATTTTTTATACAGATAAAGTTTAAAATCAAATCTTATTCTTTTAAACTGAAACAACTATTTTTGTTTGTATATATATATTTTATTGCAATAATATTAAAACTAGCTTATTTCTTAATACTATTTAAATAAAAAGGATATACATAATTTTATTTCAAAAAAACAAGAAAAATATTATAAAAAGAAAATATATCACAAAAAATTGAGTGTAAATTACACTATAATACGATTAAAATGATCTGAAGATACATTTATCAAATATATATTTAAATTAAAAAAATTTTATACAGTCCATTTTTGATAATGCAGAATATGTAATATATTTCATTTCATTACCATTTTTACAATAAATAATAATTGCCGTCTGGAAAAACGTAGCAGATGCTACGATATCTAATTCATCCGCCCACGTTCCAAGTTGATGTTTTTTTGTATCAACCAAATGTTTTATTATGTCCTTCCCCATAAAATCAGTAAAAATATCATTATTTTCCAACAACATCATATAAGAGATTATAGATCCCCTTATAATTGCATGGTGATCCTCGATGCCTGTGATCTCTTTGCTCAAGCAGCGATAATAACAATTTCCGTCACCAAGAACAGCCTCAAATTTAGGTAGATAACTTAAATTCTTAATTCGATGGCTTTTTATTCTTGATGACGAATGCCTAGCCTCTGAGCATGATATTTCTTCCATGCATTATTCGTAGCAAGGTAAGGTAACGGGAAAATATCCGGCTCTTTATATAATATTATTTTAATATCGGTATTTTCTTTTTCCTCTTCCCCGATATTAGATTTTTGGAAGTAGGGCTTGAGGTTACACTCGTTATACTTTCTCTTCAATAGAGTATTATCTTTATTACTCACACTATAAAGATCGTTCTCATATACCTTATCAATTATGTATGGACCAAGCCAGGCATCGGACATTTTTTCACCCTTTCTATCCGCACGTCGTGAGTTCCAGATCAGGACCTGTTGCCCGACTTCATAAGGGATTTTATCCTTTTGCCTTTTTTGATAATCCCTTTTTTGTCTATCTTGGGCAACAAGTATATTTTCTTTTGCCCTTTTCCATACGACTGATAGGCTCATTATTCTTTCTAATAATTCACTCTCTTCAAAGTCATTCTCAATATTATTATTGATTTCCTTAAAAATATTCGGCTCAATTATTTACTGAAGGCTTTACGTTCCGACCATACATCATATAAAATGGCGTGAATCTGTAGATTTTTGGACACTGGTTCTCATTGCAAACAGTACCCCCGGAAGAACCCTAGGCCATAGTGTTTGATCATCACTCAAAACCTTTAACATTAAGTTTTGAATAGTACGATTATTCTTTTCATTTCATTCACAAACTCTCGGCCTTGATCATTGATTTATATCTATATTGTATAAAATCAAAAGTTTATAAACTATCATAAATGCACATTTTTTAACCGATATATATTTATATAATTTGATTTACAGTTGCGCAGCCATGGCGGCAAATCAGACCATAAATAAATTTACAAGTCTCTTCAGCTGTCTTTGATTTCATAGGTTCTGCCTCAACCCATTTTGTGAAATAATCAGTTTGATTCATTAAAAATTAGGTGATATTTTAAAGCAAGTATTGGCAATATAATTACAAATTAAATGTACCAATTCGATTCATTAAAAATTAGGTGATATTTTAAAGCAAGTATTGGCAGCAATTGATATAAATATAATTATAAATTTAAATGTACAAATTTGATTCATTAAAAATTTTGTGATATTTTAAAGCAATAAAGAAGAATATTTTCCTGTTATAGGTATTCAATAAAAAATATTTTTGACATTTATATGTACTTGCTTGATATATAATTATAATTATAAATTTAAGTGTACCATCATTAAAAAATTTGTGATATTTTAAAGAAGTAAAGGAAGGATATTTTCTGTCACTAAGTATTAGCAGCAAATGATATTTTTCTGTTACTTATATTTTGATATTTAATTGTTAATGCTTGATATAAATATAATTGAAGAGAGTGAATTATTAGAAAGAATAATGTGCCTATCAGTCGTATGGAAAAGGGCAAAAGAAAATATACTTGTTGCCCAAGATAGACAAAAAAGGGATTATTAAAAAAGGCAAAAGGATAAAATCCCTTATGAAGTCGGGCAACAGGTCCTGATCTGGAACTCACGACGTGCGGATAGAAAGGGTGAAAAAATGTTCGATCCCTGGCTTAATAGATACATAATTGATAAGGTATATGAGAACGATCTTTATAGTGTGAGTAATAAAGATAATACTCTATTAAAGAGAAAGTATAAAGGGTGTAACCTCAAGCCCTACTTCCAAAAATCTAATATCGGGGAAGAGGAAAAAGAAAATACCGATATTAAAATAATATTATATAAAGAGCCGGATATTTTCCCGTTACCTTACCTTGCTACGAATAATGCATGGAAGAAATATCATGCTCAGAGGCTAGGCATTCCTCATTCGTCATCAAAAATAAAAAGCCATTGAATTAAGAATTTAAGTTATCCACCTAAATTTGAGGCTGTTCTTGGTGACGGAAATTGTTATTATCGTTGCTTGAGCAAAGAGATCACAGGCAACGAGGATCAACATGCAATTATAAGTGGATCTATAATCTCTTATATGATGCTGTTGGAAAATAATAATATTTTTACTGATTTTATGACATAATAAAACATTTGGTTGATACAAAAAAACATCAACTTGGAACGTGGGCGGATGAATTAGATATCGTAGCATCTGCTACGTTTTTCCAGACGCCAATTATTATTGTAAAAATGGTAATGAAATGAAATATATTACATATTCTGCATTATCAAAAATGGACTGTATAAAAATTTTTAATTTAAATATATATTTGATAAATGCATCTTCAGATCATTTTAATCGTATTATAGTGTAATATACACTCAATTTTTTGTGATAATTATGTTTCCTTTTTTGGGATATATTTTCTTTTTATAATATTTTTCTTGTTTTTTTGAAATAAAATTATGTATATCCTTTTTATTTAAATAGTATTAAGAAATCAGCTAGTTTTAATATTATTGCAATAAAATATATATATACAAACAAAAATAGTTGTTTCAGTTTAAAAGAAAACTTTATTTTATATCTGTATAAAAAATTTTGTATTCCATAAACATAAGTGTTAAATTTTAATCAGCTAAAAATATAATTATATATACATCTAATAAATAAAATGACGATTTTAAGAAGCCAAGAAGAAATGATTAATCAGAGTGATAGATAGTGATTGAGATGCTTTGACATAATAGAAAACCTTATTTGTTTGTGATTTGCTTACTTTTGTCTGTTAAAATTTTAAGGCTTGAGATTCCAATAATACGATGTATGAAGAAAATTTGTATACATATTATTTATTTAAAATTTTCTGCAATAATTATATATACATCTAATTAATAAAATGACGATTTTAAGAAGTCAAGAGGAAATGATTAATCAGAGTGAGTGATTGAGATCCCTTGACGTAATAGAAACCCTTATTTGTTTGTGATTAGCTTACTTTTGTCTATTAAAATTTTAAGGCTTGAGATTTCAATAATATGATGTATGAAGATAATTTGTATATATTAAACAAATAAAATTTATATATGATATTAACAGAGTTGTTAAACGTTACTTTTAAAAGTAGCGCGCTACCGCTATCGCTATTTGTTAAAAAAAGTAGCTCGCTATTAGCTACTTTTTATAAATTTAATTTACAAACAAATTTTTTGCTTATAATGTTATTATATAGTAAATATATAAAAATCAACATTTATAAATATTAAAATATAGTTAGTTTTGATTATAAAAAAATTTATGTAATAAAAATAAATTTTTATGGTAATTTGTTGCATTTTAATAATAAAATAATTTCAATATTATCATCCCCAAGTCTAGAGCGACGATCAGAAAGTTTTTGCCTTATTAAATAATCTCTCGACACTAGCACTTGGGGGTAAGGGCGTATTTAATATTATATACATATTTTTAATATAAGATAGATTATCAATAATTTTATTTGCAAGTACATCGTATGTCTGGCATCCTATTATCATTTTGAGGGCTAATGCCACAGATCTTCTTTTTAAAGTTCTAGGGTCTAGCCAATGGCCTATGATTTCCAAATAAGCTCAAAAATATTTAATCAGATCAATTTATAAATATAAATAAGTTTTTACCTTATGTTATGTGTTCAACTATCTCCCGTGGTACATATATATTATCTCTGATAACTCTACTATTAGAGCATCTTTCATCATTTTAAAGTTATCTGCTATTTTATTTATTAGTGTCTGGCGGCATAAAATTGTTGTACCAGGGGGTAGAGTTTTAATCATCATGGTAAATGATGGATTATCAACAAAGACATTGGCTAAACTGTATAAATTATAAAATCAATTTACATTTTAAACAAATAAATTTGAAACCAGTTTTGGTTATAAATTTATTTTAAAAAATTTTCAAATCTAGGGAATGGGAAATTTGTATTATAGCTATTAAGATCATTTTCTTCCCTGGTATCTCCCATTTCATTTATATTATTGTCTGAATCACTTTCAACGATTTGGATATCCATAGGCGATGACATTTTAAATTATTAACACGTGATTTAGGTTTATAATACAAATGAAAATATAAATTACAAATTGAAATTATATTTTAATTTCAAAATTAAATAATAAATCATAAAAATTATGATATTATATTTAAATTTTCATGCTTATACTTACCTCCATTATATTTTTTAAAAGTAGCGAAGTAGCGGCTACTTATTTACTTTCAAAAAAAGTAGCCGCTATTAGCTATAGCTACCAAAAAAGTTAGCGCTACTTTAACAACTCTGGATATTAAGAATTGTAAAATAAATACACTCCCTTAAAAAATTATTTAAAAGAATAGAAATCATTTATATAATCATTTAAATCTAATTTAAATAAATTTTTACAAATTGAAAATGGCCGCCAATATTTTTGAAGCGATGAAAATATATATAAATAAAAAATATTTTATAATTTTAATGGCCGCCAATATATTTGAAGCGATGAACAATATATATAATAAAAAATATTTTATAATTTTAATGGCCGCCAATATATTTGAAGCGATGAATAAATGTTTAATAATATTTATTTTAAAATTTTAATGGCCCCCAATTTGAAACGATGAAATATATAATGAATAGATATTTTACAATTTTAATGGCCGCCGATATATTTGAAGCGATGAAAACATCTCTTAAAAATCAATACGGTATTGATTCTACAATACCAAAATATCACTACGGTATTGAATCTACAATGATAATATCAATACGGTATTGAAACTACAATGGGTATTGATTTCACAATCCTACACCGGGCAAAAAAAAGTAATTTTTTTACAAATCTGGACCGGACGGAATATTTAAATATATCATAGAATGATCAGGTTTTTTTTCATTTTAAAATCATTTATCTCTCGTTAATAAAATACTTGACTAGTTAATAAAAGAGAAATAAAATTATCATTTTTTTTAGTGAAATCAATAAGATTTTAATTTGTTTTAAATAAAATATTTATTGATTTAGGAAATTAATTTATAATTGTCATTGGTCAACCCTTAAAAAATGTCTAATATTATTATTTTAAAAACTTAAAACAATTTTCTAAGTTATTAGAATAATAATAAAATTACAATTTCAAGTCCAAAATACCTATTTATATCGAAATTATAGAATTTAAAAAAATCACTACTCTTCAATGACAACTAAATTTTGCAATGCACTGAAAAATCCAGATCGCCATTTTTACTGTATTTTAAGCATTACCATTTTTTTTTAAACTATCGTCTCTATGACCCCATGAACGCTCTCGAGAGTTAATTTGTTGGATAGTTGAATAAATCTTAGATACATTATTGCTAACGAAAATTATATTTGAATTAAGACTAATAATAAACTTTATAATAGTAACGAAATGTTTCGTCTCATGGTTTGGTGAAGCCGAACCTCGTTCTGTTTCCGAAGTTCTACCCAAAGATGTCGTACCGTTCGCTCAATTTTATTCACGATATTACCGAATTAATAAAAATGGCGGTGATGGCAAGAAATTTCACGGACCCGCTTCATTTAAGGAGGCGCTGAAACAAGCGACGGCAGACGATTCTAGGAAAAAAAATTTATGCAAGTTAATCTTTTTTTACGATTGTTTAAGAAAAATATATTTTTTAAACATCAAATACATTAATTAAAAGCCTATTTTTCCAATAATTAAGGTAAAATTTAACAATAATAAATAGTTTTCAACCAATAATTTAATATAATGTTTTTCAAACATTAGAATTTTATATCTTAATAATTTTCTATTATATTATTTATAGGTAGATCATTTTAATTAGATGCAAATCTCGAATATCCGGTTCCTATTGGAAATTTATATGTGCTCTATATAATATATATCACTGATAAATACAAATACGCTCTCATTTCGTTTTCCAACAAATTTATACGCCTTTTTTTATAATTTCCCAACAAAAAATGGCCCGTTAAAAAAATGTGATTAAAAAATAATTTTATAAATAATATTAAATATATATGATGGGATTTAATTTTCTGAAAAGCTTATCAAATACATAATATTTATTTATTTTTTACGTTAAATTGAATTCACGATATTTATATAATAAACACATGATTCATATCACGAAGAATGTAGAATAGAAGCTTTGCAAAGATTCTTTCCATTCCCTTTTTATGGTTAATGGCGCATTCACGTCTCACAACCGGGTATTAAGCCTATTTTGGTTTAATTTAATCTTCTTCACTTTCAGATGCTAATACAGTATTTAATAATCCGCGATTTTTTATGAACGAATTATTTTGAACGCCTTGATTTTTGGATGCGGAACATTTGTTTGATGTATGAATAGGTACCATATCACGCGATTCATCAATCTTTTCACGCAGATTGAATCTCAAAACATTTATATCATTGAGCAAATGTGATACTTGGATGTTTGAATGAGATGTGGTATTATGATTTTCAGAAGAATTTAATAAAGATAAATTGGTTTGGCTAGACAAAACATTTATATCATATTCGATTCTCTCCTGTGATGGTAAGAAATTATGAAACCATTTATCTTTTCCATGCCCGGGCACTTTAACATTTTCAGAAAATGCAGTGTTTCGCATTAAGGTAGTTTTATCAACCCTGATATCCCCAATCATTTTATTTTCATCAAAATCAGTTATTTCAGAGCATGTAATTTTATTATTAGACAAATTTTGTTTATGCCCATTGGTGGATTGATTATCATAATCAATAACTCCTATATCTAATAGCATGTTTTCATCTGAGAGATTAAAGGCTTGAGATATATTATCATTTTCTAACTTTTGATCAAATAAAGAATTTATGTTATTAATATTTGTTATAGTAGATTTTCTAATATTTGGAATTTTAATATTTTTGTTGTTTTCTTGTTTTGAACATTTGTCTATATCTGATAATTGTGATAGCATAAATCTATCATCTAGCATATCTTCTTTTTCAACCACCATTTCAGCTAATGTTGCCAGCAAAAAATTTGCCTCATAGTATTGGTCCATTTTTGAATGTAATAATAATGGCTTTCCAGCACATTCAATTCTAAAAGTTATCTCACTTTCCATAAATTCTAGTAATAGCAATGCAGCCTTAAATTCTTTCACACAGAAAGTTATTTCAACATTTTTATTGTTTGAACAAATGTTAACATTTAGTTTGTATTTTGTAAAATCTTTAGGATATAACTGTATTCTAGTATCAAGAGCTCTTTTAGAATGATTGAAATTTTTTATAGAATTATTACAAGATATTTGGGATGTAAATATATCACTCGATTTTTTATTTACTTTATAGTTTTCCTCATCTAACTCTTCTAATGCGTAATTTTTAACCATAACACTTTGCGAATTGATAATAAATGTGATTTCTTCAACAGAATTTGAAAACTGATTTATTAATTCTGAAAATAATTTAGGTAAGCATTTAAGTTTTGCCATATATAAGAAAGGTTGAGATATTTCTGAACTTAACAAATTTGTTTTAGCATTATCATTTTGGGTGTCAAATTCATCATCTTCAATATCTGAGTTCTGATCAATTGGTATAATTGCTTCTAAACTTTCACACTCAATGTAAGATAGATGATATGTTTTAGCTATATCATGTTTACAAAATAATTTAAATATTGCTTGGCAACGATTATTATTAAGCTTTAATTTGAAATATTCAGTTTGTTGCTTTTCAATACTTGCCAGTGATTTAAATATTAAAAGTAATGATTTAATGCATAATTTGCATGTTGGTGTAACAATATTGTCATCATTATCATTATTAGTTGTATTTTCATTACAGTAAGGGTTGAATTTTTGGAAAAAGGGAGATATCAAACTTATGCAAAAATATGCAGACCTGCTTGAATTTATTGTTTTTAAATGTAAACCATTTTCATATGTTTCAAAGTAAATATCCTCACCAATTTTGCAAAATGAATGTATTATTTTAGCAAACGTCTTAATATTTGGTCCAGCAACTATACATTTCATGTTTTCTTTGATAAATTTTTAATTTAATTAGATAAGATAAGAAGATACTAATCTTTATGCAATTTATAATAAGTGCGTCTGCTAATTTAAATTTTAACAATCTAGATGAATAAATAATTTTGCTTTAATTTTATTATTGTTTAAATAATAGATTGGCGAATTTATATAATAAATCAATACTTATTATAGGTGTTGTAAATTAAAAAATGAACAAAATTTTAGTCAGCTTAATTATTTAATACGTCTTGACAAGGAGGAAAATTAATTATAATTTTAAAAAAATATATATATTATTTTAATAGATTTTGAGTGCAAGAATATCTACGAATATATGAATAGTGTTGTTATAAAATAAGAGAATAACATTTTATGAGGGTATCCCATAAATTAAAAAATAATATAATAATATTCATATTTCTTTCTTTATTATTTCGAATTCATATAATTGAGATTAAATAAAATTTATATTAGAAAAAAATTTTTTTTAGTTATTATAACTTGTCTTCACCTACAGAAGCCTTCATAGTTTGAATGTAAGAATCAAGTTCCTAAATCGATAATACTACACTTCTAGTAATTGGGTGGGATATCAAGATCAATATGTATTCCTGTGAGATTTAGGAATAAATTTTGGACATTGTGTTAAAAAATTAAAACATAATGCTAGCCTAAACGCTTTATTTATATTCATTTCAGAATATATTTTCACATAGGATGTATAATGTAGTATATTTCCTTTATAATTATATGAGAAAAAATGATGTCTATTTATTAGGACAATGTGATAGTTCATATAAAAAATACCTGAACTACATTAATGTATAATTGGTCCATCGAAAATGTTTGTTAAAGTAATTGAACTGGGACTGAAATTGGCAAACTAGTGCTAAAATTTATTTGATATATTTATATGAATAGTTAAAGATATTGTTCTGTTTTGCAATAAATAAAAAGTTAAAGATATTAAGATTAATTGTGACCCTACCCCATTGCCCTACCCTAAATGTTTGTTCCCTCGACTTTATTACCCATTGGCGTACGCAGCGGAGGGGGGGCAGGGGGACCAATCCCCCCCCACCCCCCCCAAAGCCAAAAAATGCAGATGCCGGATATATTTTTCGAAAATATTATTGTTTATATTTATTAATATTTATTCGTATCTCATAAAAATATATATTTAATTACATTTATTATCAAATTTATCTACTTTATTTTATCAATTAATTTCGATTTCAAGTTTTCCGGCGTAATATTTACTTATTATTTTCAAATTTTTAGTGGCGTAATATTTATCTACCATTTTCACATTTCTAGTCAAATAATAATTATTTCTGAAATTTCTTGTCCAACAGGGAAAAAGAAATAGCAACCTTGTCCAACGAGATAGAGTCTCTGCCATCAAACAGTAACAGCTTTTAGGGAGTTAGAAGAGCCAATTATTTGCTATTACTGAAATATCACATGGCCTGAAAGAAATATTTCCTCAGAAGCAAGAAAATTATTGGATTCAATGCTTATTCCAAATTTTATTTCTCATTAGAATGTATTATTTAATTATACAACTATTTTAAGTATTACTTTTTAAAAACATGACATTGATTAAGAAGATGAGAATAGCGGAGAGCATTTTAGAACTCAAGGAAATTAGGACTAATGTTGATGAATAATTTCATATTATATATTTTATTGTTGAGTCAAAGGCAGAGCTATACGTGTTTAATATTTGTCTCCCTCGACTTGTAGCAAGGCGAGCTCATCGTTAAAACATTAATATAGGATCAGTAGAAGATTATATCTTAAATACAGATACATTTATAACCCAAATAAATGAATTTTTAATTCATCATGCAGCACTTACTAATCTGCAAATATTACTTCCACAAACGCCTTCCCAACCTTTTTCAGATGGTGATAGAAAAAAAAATATTTGTTAGATTTTTATTAGGAAGATGTTAAAGTATCTTATGATGCCTTATTAGCTGAATAACTATGGTTGATATAGTCCCAAAAAATGCTATGGATGCTCTGCATTATTTCAAACACATTTTAGATTAAATTCCCAATGTTTTAAAAGGGTTTATAAACTCTTCCCATTAGTAAACTAATGAGAGAACATTCTCTTTTTTAAGAAGAATAACAACAGAGGCCTGCAGAAGTACCATTTGCAGGGCACGATTCCGATTTTTTTTAAAGATTTTTAAGGCCCGGCCTGGGTTTTATTTTAAAAATTTTCATGCCCGGTGTAACGTGATATTTTAACTTAAATTTAAATTAACTCCCTTTAGTAATACTGACATTTATGATTGACGTTATAATAAAATAACATTATAAAATTTAGTGTGATATTTTAACTTAATTTAAATTAACTCCCTTTAGTAATACTGACATTTATGATTGACGTTATAATAATATTTTATTAAAATATCATTATATAATTTAGTAATACAGACATTTATGACTGACATGTAATGTTAAAAGTTTTTATTATTTAGTAATACTGACATTTATGACTGACATGATATGTTAAAAGTTTCTATTATTTAGTAATACTGACATTTGAATGTATAAATCAGCATCGACTAGTTGTAGGAGATCTCACTCTTAAAGATGCCAGGGTCACTAAAAGAAAGTTTGTCCCAAGGCTGAAGGTTTGGAAATTGAAGGAGGAGAATGCTAGACGTCAATTCAATATGGCATTGGCGATTAGGGAGGCGGAGGTGACACAAGCATCTGGGGTGAATGACAAGTGGAAAGCCATGAAGAAAGCTTGGGTAATGACAACTGAGGAGGTATGTGGATGGACAAAAGGGCCGCCTAGACATAAGGAGACTTGGTGGTGGAGCCCAGAGGTAGCGAAAGCCGTGGATGAGAAACGGAGGTGTTTCAAAGTATGGTATAATAGAAAAGAAAATAGTGATAATGATATTTACAAGATGGCTAAAAGAAATGCTAAGAAATTAATAGCGAAGGCTCAAGAAGAAAAAAGACACGAGTTTGCTAAAGAAATGAAATGCGCTGATGGAATTGGAAATATGGTTAGAATGGCAAAACAGATGTCAAAAAAGAGGCAGGATGTGATAGGTGTAAAGTGTTTGAAAAATATGGAAGGAGAAATGACGATTGATAGTAGTGGTATTAAGAACACCTGGAAGATTTACATGAAAGGACTATTGAATGAAGATAATGAATGGAATAATAATATTAGTTGTGCAAAGGTAGAAGGTCCAGGGTGTAAATTTAGCAAGGACGAGATAAGGAGAGCAGTGAAAAAGATGAAGAAAGGGAATGCATCGGGTTTAACGATGGTGGTATCAGAGATGTTTAAAGGTTCTGATGATTTAGGGATTGAATGGTTAATGAATTTAGCAAATCAGATTGTCACAGAAGGTACTATTCCCGAGGACTGGCGAAGAAGTATAATTATCCCAGTATACAAGGGGAAAGGTGATCCTTTAGATTGTGGGTCTTACAGAGCTATTAAACTCTTGGAACATGCAATGAAAGTATTTGGGAGTGTTAGAAAAGCGGATAAGGGAACAAATCAAAATTGATGAAATGCAGTTTGGTTTTACATCGGGAAAAGGCACGACAGATGCAATTTTTGTGGTGAGACAAATTCAGGAGAAGTATCTTGCGAAGGAAAAGAAACTCTATTATGCGTTTGTTGATTTGGAGAAAGCATTTGATAGGGTGCCGCGTGAGATTACAAGATGGGCCTTGAAAAAATCCGGTGTGGAGGAATGGTTAGTTACCGCAGTGATGGCAATGTATGTTGGAGCACAAACAGCGTACGGACGGATTATGGTGATAGTGACAGCTTTGAGGTGAAGGTAGGACTTCATCAAGGATCCGTGCTGAGTCCATTATTATTTATCTTAGTAATGGATGTGGTGGCTAGAGAAATGCGTGAAGGACTTCCCTGGGAGATATTATATGCAGATGACCTTGTATTAATGGCAAACAGTGAGGGAGAATTGAGGGATAAAGTTAGTAAATGGAAGATGACTATGGAAGCAAAGGGCCTGAAAATGAATGCATCAAAAACAAAGGTGATGATTGGTGGGGAAAATCTAAAGATAGAAGAATCAGGTAAGTGGCCTTGTGGTGTATGTGGGAAAGGAGTTGCTAGAAATTCTATCCAATGCACCAGATGCCAGAAATGGGTACATAAAAGATGTAGTGGGAAAAAAGGCAGTTTGATGTTAGAAAGAATGATCTTTATTTGTAAAACATGCATGAAAGGGATACATAATAATGATAACCTAAAAAATGGTGGTCTGGATATTGGCAATGGGTTAACCCTAGAAAAAGTGGATAAGTTTTGTTATTTAGGTGATATGCAAAACGCAGATGGTGGTGTAGATTCTGCTGTTGTTGCAAGGATCAGACAAGCTTGGAAGAAGTTCAGAGAGATGTCGTCTATTCTTACAAATAAAAAAGTTTCTCTGAAGTTAAAGGGGAAAGTTTACGTAAGCTGCGTGAGGAGTTGTTTAGTTTATGGCGGTGAAACACGGGCAATGAAAGCAATTCACGAAGCCAAATTAAAAAGAACAGAGATGAGGATGGTTAGATGGATGTGTGGGGTATCTCTGAGAGAGAGAAAAACTAGCAAGGAATTGCGAGCAAGATTAGGTATAGAAATGATTGGTATGGTAATGCGACGAAATAGACTAAGATGGTTTGGGCATGTGGAACGGACAAGAGATGACTGGGTAAAGAGATGCACAATGATGGAAGTAGGAGGATCAAGACCTAGAGGAAGACCCAAGATGACGTGGACAAATGTGATAGCGGCGGATATGAGAAGCTTGAATCTTACAAGTATTGATGCTCAGGACCGTCAAAAATGGAAAAGAAAAATCAGAGGGAAAACTGGCCTACCCGGGTAAACCTGGAAATCGCCATAAAACGGAGAAGAAAGTAATACTGACATTTATGACTGACAAGATATGTTAAAAGTTTCTATTATTTAGTAATACTGACATTTATGACTGACATGATATGTTAAAAGTTTCTATTATTTAGTAATACTGACATTTATGATTATTTAGTAATACTGACATTTATGACTGACACATAATGTTAAAAATTTCTATTATTTAATGATATTGACATTAATGACTGACATGTAATGCTAAAAAGATTCTATTATTTAGTAATACTGACATTTATGACTTAATATTGCAATATTAACACTTATGACTGACAGGTGATGCTTAAATTTATATGTTTAGCATATTAACTCTAATGAGTGATAAATAATTAAAATTTTCTAATATTAAAATTTATGAGATAGATAATATTTTAATTTCTGATATACCTATAAATAATTTAACTTCGAAAACGTCATAGCTTAATTTTTAAAAAGTTGATTGAAATTTATATACACATGGTAGGTTAATTTATTTATATTTAAACATAAATTACATATCATTGATCAAATGATTCAATATCATACTTTTTATAAAAATATCTATTAATAAAAAATATAAAAATCTATATAATATAAATTAGCAATTGAATAGGACTTAACTCATCAAAAAGATAGATGGCTAACTATTGTTTTTTTATAAAAAAACTATTAATAAAAAATATAATGCAAAAAATATATTGTATAAATTCGCAATTGAATAACATTTAAGAAAAAGATGTAGTATTAAAAAAAATATATAATGCAATAAATATAATTTAAATTTGCAATTCAATAGATTTCAACTTATAAAAAGGATGTCAAACTATTGTACTATAAAAATAACTATTAATAAAAATATAGAGTACAATGACATTTAACAAAAAGATACTTACCAATTATCATCTTTCAACTAAATTGGAATTAATATAAAAAAATATAAAATGCAATAAATATAATTTAAATTTGCAATTGAATAGAATTAAACTTATAAAAAGGATGTCAAACTATTACACTTTTTATAAAATATACTATTAATAAAAATATGAGTACAATATAATTTAACAAAAAGATACTTAACGATTATCATCTTTCAACTAAATTGCAATAAATATAATGGAATAAAAATATTAGAACAGATAATCACATTGATATAATTCTAACAAAATGATTGTTATTTACATTGCATAAATAAATATTTTTATATTATTAAAAAATTTCATGGGCGAATAATAAGCCGATTTATATTGGGTATAGATTAATATATTTGTCTGTAACAATGTGGCCATAGATAATATTTCTACCTCTGTTGCTCAGACACCGTTTCCCATAACATTTCTGTTAACTAGGTATTCCTCTACAGGATATCCTATAAATTTTCCCATTTCCAATTTGAAATCTTCGCTCCTCATAAAAAGAATGCATTTCTCCCTAAGGTAATTATAATTTTCCTGGCTATTTGATATCTCTTGACTTATACACCTATAAATAGGTAAATAATTTAAATATTATATATAGATTCTAACCTAAAAAAACAGTTCCCATCACCCACAATATGATCGGTTGTGAAAATCTCTTTTAATATACCACATTTTATCTTTGGATAACGTCCAATTACTTTGAAATTGAACCGTTTAGAGTGATATACCTTCGAGTTCAATAAAAATTTATTACGTATAATAATTTTATACAAATAATGATATATATATATCATACCTCACAGGGCAGTAAAACTTTCCTGCCATACATCATCTCATATGGCGTAAATTTTGAGGATTCATGCCTTGATGTATTGTAGGCAAATACAATACCAGGTAGAACTCCAGGCCAATCTTTCTGATTGCCTTTTGTACACTTCAAAAGGGAATTTTGAAGAGTACGATTGGCTCGCTCTACCATGCCATTAGCCTGAGGATGGTAAGATTATGTTAAAGTACATTTTAAAAGTGTTACAAGCTTTTTGGGTGATATCAGGCTAAATTTAAGCAATATTTTAAAACAATATTCTATTAATTGAAAGAGAATTTTAAATTGAGTACTGTATCCTAGCTTATAAGAGCAATATTTACCTGATTATATTAAAGTACATTTTAAAAGTGTTGCAAGCTTTTTGGGTGATATCAGGCTAAATTTAAGCAATATTTTAAAACAATATTCTATTAATTGAAAGAGAATTTTAAATTGAGTACTGTATCCTAGCTTATAAGCAATATTTAGGTTAATGATGCTTACTACCAAGTGAATGTATGGAAATATTTTAAATACCAATCTAATTTGCTAAATACCGACCAAAATTTATTAAAATGTAATAAGACCCTTATTATTTAATATATTAATACGGAATCACGTGGTCGAGTCCGGCCTTCTATATATCATCCCCCCAAAGATGGAACCACCAAGTTAGAATAAGAAAAAAAACATGATCATTCCCTGGATTCGAACCCGGGAGCATAGGATAAGTAAGCCAAGCTCTTGCCTACTAGGCCATAGAGGTTTTCCAAAAATCACGATTTTTCAAATATATATATAAATATATTTGGTAGTGCCTATCCAAATGAAAAATGAACAAAATTCAAATTTGATAGATGGTACCTTAAGGTACCAAGCATCATTAACCTAATATTTACCTGATTATGTTAAAGGACATTTTATAAGTGTTGCAAGCTTTTTGGGTGATATCAGGCTAAATTTAAGCAATATTTTAAAACAATATTCTATTAATTGAAAGAGAATTTTAAATTGAGGACTGTATCCTAGCTTATAAGAGCAATATTTACCTGATTATGTTAAAGTACATTTTAAAAGTGTTGCAAGCTTTTTGGGTGATATCAGGCTAAATGGTTTTGCATTTTAGGTAATTATAAATATCATTGATAACATCGTTATTCACTATTTAATATTTTTATATTAAAATAATAAAATATTTTACTTTTTACGTGAACAAGTTACTTTTTAAAAAGGATGTTTAATTTCACCAAGTAGATAAAAAAAATTTAAATTCGATTCAAAATTTAAATTCGAAAATCAAATTTACAAGAATTTCAGCAATATTAAAAAAAACTGCATGATCATATAACTCTCCCTATCAATTTACATTGTAATTAATATCTTTGTTACTAATTAACTCCCTCCTTAACACTATTTATCAAAGGGGGAGTTAATCTATCATAGTTATTACTTAACTCAGAGGTATGTGATAAGGGGAGTTAATTAATCACGCTACACTGGCCCGGCTTTTTTTAAGAAATTAATTTTTTAGGCCCGACTCGGCTTTTTTTTAAAAAATTTCAGGCCTGGCCCGGCTTTTTTTTAAATAAAATTTTCATACCCAGCCAAGATTTTTTTAAAATAAATTATATTTATTTTTGATTTTTATAGCTAATAATAACGATTTCAAATATAGGCTGTTTTAAAAAATACAGCCCGGATTGGGTGTTTTTTAAAAATAATTCAGGCCCGACTTGGGTGTTTTTTTTTAAAAAATTTAGGGCCCTGCCCGAGTATATTAAAAAAAATTTAAATACTGTCCGGCTCGGGGGCCAGGCCTGCAGGTCTCTGAAAAACATACCAAGAAGTACAACATCTGAAAGTAGATTTAAAGGTTTGGATCTTTTGAATATTCATAGGCATTTGACAACAAGCAAGAATGAGATAATTGAAAAATTAGCTCTATCACAACGAAGATTGGATTTTACATTGTAAATATATAACATACAAAATGCAATTATTCCTAAGAAACTTTTTGTGTAAAGGCTCAAAAAATTTAAATTTATATTTTGGGTCATTTAAGTGATTCTTTACATATAATTTTTTTTATAATTCACATTAATTTAAAATTGTGTATTAGAAATAGTTATTAGTCCTGATAAATTTATGCTTGATATTTTTAAAAAACAATAATATTTCTTGAAAAATTTTATTATCCCCCCCCCCCCAGACCGAATTCCTGCGTACCACGCCTGTTATCACCCTTAGTTTTCAACAACTTAATTTATCATTAAATTATGAAAATATTTAAGTACACCTATTTTCCAATTAGATAAAAATAAAAATAGTTTAGAATTAAGTGGAGTGCATTATATATTTTAAATTTATGAATTAAATACTCATCTTCCATTCTAGACCTATTTACTGCTATATTCATTGATAGAAATCTGTGTTCTTGGGTCACCTATAGACAGCTCAGCCAATATCCAAACATTTCTAGAAAAGAACAATTATAATCTACGTTAATGATTTGGTATTTTGTTTTTTTCCATTTGGATAGGCACTGCCAAATTTATTTATAATATATATTTAAAAAATCGTGGAAAGGTCTGTGGCCTAGTCGATGAGAGGGTCGCTTGTCAATCAGATATTTTGAGTTTATCCCAACAAGGATCCTTTTTTCTGAAGCCAACTTGGTAATTCAATCCTTGGTGGAGGGGGATGATATATAGGAAATCGGATTCATGTAATTCCTATAATATTTATATCAGAGACCTGCAGGGCACTATTTCCACGGTCTGCCCCGAGTATTATTTTAAAAGAATTTCAGGCCCGATGGTATATTTTGAAAAAAAAAAAATATGGCGTTGTACCTAAGCTGGGGCTGCAGTCTGATATATATTAAATTATAAATACTTATTACATTTTAATAAAATTTGGTTGGTATTTAGCAAATTAAGTTATTATTTACAAACATTATGTTGACTTTGCAGTATCTATCATTAACCTAGAATCTAACATTCATGAAAAATATCCAACATACTCATGTGATTAAGAACTTCTTAAACATTCTCAAAATTCTTTCCTGCTTCAGATTAACAACAGGGACAATATTATTTCGAGAAATTCTCTAAAATTACGAATTTTAATCACATATATATTGGAAGATATTTTAAGTCTAAAGTTTTGAAAGAAAACATGGCTATAAATTACTCTTCCCACAAGTGGGAGACTTGAGTAACGCTTTCTTTTACCCTTATCAATCATCCTCCTTTAGTAACCATAAACTTATTTCCAAATGAATCAAACCAGCCGAATATTTTTTATTTCATTTTGCATCATCATCTGGCTGATCAACAAACGTTACAGAGGGAACAAATTATCCAATAAAAACTGGTATTCATTTATCATATTACACTCCGTTGAACTTTTGCACGATGATACAGAGCAGGCCGCAAAACTTCTTTCATTGTTTTGGACAAGTCCGGCTCTAGATTAGTGTTGTTAAAAGGCTCGTTTTGAGCCGATTTTTTAAAATGGCTAACTCTATTTTTTAGGCAGAAAAATATTACCTAAGCCTCAAGATTTCGATAATATATGCCTAGACCTTTGTTCCTTCTATGAGCTAAATCTTTAGACTTGCGTAATATTTTTCTGGCTGAAATATTGAGTTAGCCGTTTTTAAAAATCGGCTCAAAATAAGCCGTTTAACAACACTACTCTGGATGACTAGAAGAGGCATACACAAGCACAACTATTATCATTTCCACCGAATTTAGTTATACATAGCAATCAAGTTAGGGGGAAAAATATCTCAACCCCATATATGTCAAAGTTATAGAGCGTAAGTGACTGAAAAAAACATTGCGCCCTCTTTACTGTATTTTTAATGTACATAAGGAATGAAAAAATTAGAAACATAATCTGAATTTCATTATTTTACGCTTATCCTTCATATTTAGAACAGGAGGATACTTCAATCATCGATAATACTAGCCTGAGGGACATACTTTAATTCCATAGGATATTAGAAACACATGGATTGGAATTATGTGTATATATATTTTTGTCCCTTCTAATAATAACATCCAATCAGTAATGCCGGGAAAAGTAAATAACAAAAATATTCACAATCATCCGAAAGCAATTATTACCAATCTTGGCATCATCAAACTGTCCAGTTTAAAAAAAGCTAAATCTCTACAAATAAAAACAATTTCGATGGCATTTTTGATCAATCAACAAATAAGCTTAGAAATTTAGTTATAATTTTAAATTTTTTAAAGATTCTCGGCCGTCCAGGTTTAGTTGTCTCCTTTTGCCTTCTAATCTAACCGATTACCCAGGGTACAAGCACTGTCTATCTGTATCGGCCTTCTTTTCATCTAATCTTGCTTTCCTCCAACCGTCTTCCCCTACAACCATCAAGAGCTTACCTGGGATAAAAATTGTTCACCATCTCATATCAGATTAACATCCCATGCAAAAAAATTCAAAAATATTGAAATCGTGGACGAATCAATGATCCCTTTTAAAGGTAAATCATCTATTAAAAAAAGAAAGTGTCCTTGGAGATTAAGAGATTTGTCGCCTCACATTTACCTGTAAGATAAGTACAGAGGATAAGATGTGCTCATTGTTCAACAGTTGATGAACATCGCTCAGATTGTGCTAAGTTTGTGACGTGGCATTATGTCTCTCCAAAAACTAAACTGTTCTAAACTATATCATGAATAATAAATGTTTATTTGCACAGTGGGATAGCAGATGTCCCACTTTAATTTTTTTAATGTTATGAAATATTTATATTTTTTTTAAATAAAATTATAAAGAAATTATATAAATTTTTTTACTATATATTATCATTATTTTCAATAAAAAATTTTACCTGTGCAAAAAGCGGACTTTTCAATTTTAAATTAATGTGCATGAAAGGGTTAAAAAACATTTATATAAACTTAACCGGTCAAATATTGGTCAATTGACCATATCGTATTTGACTGGTCCAATACACAACCCTGAAATTAGTTATCCCTGGTATAAGTCATTATCGACAAGATCGAGAATTTCAGCCACTTCATAAATTTCATTATAGTCTTTTGTAGTTTCCTCCTCTATAAGAAGCTCCGAGATCAGTTGTTTAGCCTCTTTTTTAAAAAAGAATTTTCTTTATATATATACACACTTATATTTAATTATACAATGTGTTTTTTTTATATAAAGCGTTTGTTAATTATGTATTGTACATAACATATTTTTTTTTAAACTAAAATAGTTTTTAAATAAACCAATCAAATCAATTTTAAATTAAATTATAACAAATAAATCAATTTAATTTAAAAAAAAATATATAAAATTTGTCATTATAATTTATTTGTTGGAAAACCACAATGTATTTGAGTAGAGATCAACAATGCATGGACTGAGCTATAAAATTAAATTTTTTAAAAAAAATTATAACAAGCCAGGTTGGGTAAAAGACTTAATGGGCCAAGTTGGGATTGCCAAATTGGATATAAAAAATTGACAAGCAAAGCTGGACAATTCATATATAAAAAATTCACAAGATCTCAGAAATTCATTTTATTTTCTGTAAAATTCCTATAGGCCAACCTAGGCATTAAATTTTGGATATATTTTTTAATTTCAAGCCATTCCTTTTTTTTGATGGATACTCACTCATAATTGTTGTCTTGATATTAGCAAATTTACAGAAAATTTAAGAAGTTATTTATGATATGACAATTACAAATACACAAATATCAAAATTGATTTTTAAAATGTTATATATGGAAATAGATAACCATAGAATAGAGATACAAGAGTGTTAATTGACATTGAAAATTAAAAAAAGATATTAAAAATATACTGGCCAGAAAATTTATCTAAAAAATATTAAAAGCAGCCTGACTCTAAATATTTTTTAAAGGGAAATGAAATTGAGACAAAATTTTATAGGGCATGGATGGGCCAGAAAAACGTTTAAATAACAAGCTGGGCTTGACAACATAAATTTTTTTAAATATATTTGATTTATTATAAATTTTCTTTTTAAATAATTTTAAGTAACTATTTTTAAAATTTAGTAATAATTTTTTAAATTCATAACTATGACTGATTTGACATCATTAGGACTCACCAGTATCATAATTACTCTTCATTTTATGTATAATTAACTACCAAAACTTGTAAAGTCATGGTATATCAATGACCTATCAAGGTCAAAACCAATTTCATCCTTGGATTTGGCAGTTATATATATCATATATATATATTAATTTAAGATAAAAATATATTTGCTTACAATTAAAAAGTTCATAATCTTTAAATATGTTGATTTGCCAAAAAATAAATTGTGATGACATAAATACTAACTATAAAAACATTTAATTTTGTTGTCAAATTTCAGCATTTTAGAAATTTCCTCTATGATTATATGTTCTTTACCTATACTAAGAAAAAATAAAAAACTTAAATCTATTTTATTACAAGCAATAGTTATATTCTGATAATTTTTATTTAACATCATTTTTTCTTTGTATATTAACAATTTTATCTTAAAATTACAATAAATGAATTAAATATAAATTATGGAATATTTAATTCAAATATCCTTGTCATACAATTTATTAAATAATGTAAATATTATTGAAACACTCCTACCAAAGCAGGTCTTATTGTCCTATCTTTTAATTTATAACCAACTTTTGTAACTTTTGATATTCCACCAGAAATATTTTTCTGATTTTGTCCTTGATCAGTGGAGGTTTGGAATAATGATTCATGAATATTTGGATCAAACTTTTCATTTTTTTGAGGATTTATTTGTGATAGCCCATGTTTATTGAAAACCTTTTGTAACTCTTTTTCCATCATAAGTAAGCCTTGATAAAGATCACTAAAGCTAGCCTGAAGTTCCTCTATATTTTCTGGTACAGTATTATCAGAAGATTGGTGAGGAATTGATAGTTTTTGTAAATTTTCATGTATGTGAGGTGGAATGCTTTGACAAGCTTTGGTTAATATATCAGCTACATCAATGAGATCTTTACAAAATCCCTGGATTGAATAAAGTCTTGCCTTTTCCAATTCATTTTGCATTCTTTGCCTCAGATTTTCCATATCAGCCAATCCTCTTTTATATTTATCCTTTAATTATATGTAGTTTAATATTTCATATTATTATTATAATTACATTTAGATCTTGCATGCTTTCTTTAAGTTTTTGATTTTCTAGAGCTAATGAATTTTCTTCGTTTGCAGATTTATTTGTATTATCAGTTTTATTTCCTTTTAAAATTCTGGTAAAAACGTTACCACTATCACTTTGAGGATTTATTGAAGTATTTGAATCAACACTTGCATTACATTGACTATCATTTTTAATATCCAGGTTTTTAGAATTTTCTTGGCATAAAAATCGTGGTAAATATAAGCTTATAAATAATGATTTAAATTAATATGAGTAAAAATAATTACTTGTATGTCAGGCAAGTATTTTGCAATTTGTGAAAATTTTTAAGCATGATGAGGAAAATTACAAAAGATTCCTTTAGTAATGATGATTTAATTTTATTTATATTAAAAATAAGGGTAATACAAAATTCATAATAAAGCTGCTATATAAAAAATGCGTGTATATTTATATGTTATTACGTGATTAAATGCCTATCCTTCATATGTAGTGTTGTTAGAAAGTCGAATTTTTAAGACTTTACACTCGAGTTGTAGTGGCAAAACTCTTCATAAATTGAGCGGCTCGATGAGACGAATGAGTTGGCTCGATGAGTCGGTTTCAGAGAAGGCTCAAAAGTATGCTTCAGAGTCGCCACGATGAATTGGCTTCAGATTTACTCAAAGAAAAATTTAACCAATTTGGATTGCGCTGATCTAAAATTTTAAATTCTATACTTTTTGTTTGAATATGATTATGCAATTATCACTGACCACGCTATTATTATCTCTTCCAAGAATGATAAAAACTTATACTACTAGTTTGAGCTGAATATAAGAATTTTATATAGGCTATTCTATGCTTATTGTTAGAAAATACTTTGTTTTCTGGTTTTAAATATAAACTGGATGGAGTCAAGTACAAATAACTATAAAGATACAAAAATATTATCATAAAAATGGAATTTGATTAATATTATTTCTCTTTAAATAATTATTTAAACTTTTAAAATTGATTTGTTTTTAAAAAAATATTTGTTTTTTTAGTTTATTGTACTTTATCTAATGATTTCTAAAAAGAATGTAGAAGAGATTTATCAGGCAGGAGTATAACTGACATTGTTTTTTTCTGTGACTGATAAAAGATTCATAGATGAATAATAATAAAATTTATTAATTATAATTTATTGCAAATCCCAAGCATATCCATATCTAGGATTTACTGGCCATAAATTCTAATATCTAATAACTATATAGACTATATTCATATTTTCCAGAGTCTAAACCTTTATTATTTATAACCCAGCAAATATTCGTTTAGATAATTTTATAAACATAGAATTTTACAATTATTTAGGATATTATATAAATAATAAAGAATAATTGTGTTTATAATCTTAAGTGTTTAAGATTTTATAATAATTATTATGGCCACTTAACCCTTAATTATTTATTGCCATCATAATTATATCTAATATTATTAAAAGATAATGGGTGTTTAATAATGTATTTTAAGTTCCGATTTTTATGCGAATATGACTTAAAATTATATCTCCTAAAATTATTATATATATTGATATGGGTAAGTTTTTCACTAAAAAAGAATTTCTAGCGAGAACATTCTCTGACTGAAACAGTTGTTTTATTATAATTTATCATGAGTTTCCATTTTTCCGTGTTCAGGTTGTAGTAATATTTTTGACATTGGTTCATGCTCAGGAAAGATAAAGTTTATTTAAAAATTTTATAAAAACTTTTAAATATTTTTTTATATCAAGCTATTATTTGTCATTGGTGTCAAAAGGGAGAACTTTGTTAATTGATATTTAGTAAAAAAAATAATAAATATTATTTTTGAATAGTTCAGGAAGCGATTCCAAAGTATTTATCGAAATGGATAGGAGATATTAACAAAATTTATATCGCATACATTTGAAAGGCTAGAACCAACCCCTTTGCCAAGATTTGGTTTATTATGTAGCTTTATGTTGTAGCTGTTGAAAAAAATAAGAAATAAATTTAATATAATACATCAAATGTCAGTTATTTTCTGACAGGGAAATTAGTTTTCCTGGTGGATGGGAGGGAAAAACGGAATTATCACACGGGTTGTTGTTAGAAAAGAACATTCTTTGTTTGGATTTGGAGTGAAGATATTGAATGAAGACGGGATTGATTGGGGAAGATTTAATATGTTTATATGTTATATATTTATGAATAAAGTGGAATGGTAGTAATGTTTATTATATTTATTTAATATTATTAAAGGGATTATTTTGGATTTATAAGATATATTTTTTGAGGGAAGGATTGAGAGTAAAGGGCATTATATTTTATTTATATTTTTGCAAAATTTTAGTAATACAATAAAAAGATTAACTAAATTGTTAAAATATTTTTGGGACTCGAGCCTCCTGAAAAATTTGAATAGGCCCCTGAAGCAAAATTTTTTTTTAATGGCTCCTTAATAACCCCTTGAACTTAAAATAATTTTAATTGCCCACTGAACGATTTCTTTTATAATTCTATTAATTAATATATATATTTAAATTTATTATTTAAAAATTAATAAGACTATCTAAATTTTTATTAAATGAATACTATTTTAATTATCAGATTTAGATTAATATATAAATAATATTTTCACGGTCAGCTTGCAATCAAATTCTGTGTTAAAAATAGAATATCTATATCACTCGATATATATTAATTTTTCATTAACGTTGAAGCTTAATTAATTTTTATTGTTTAAATTATTTTATAACCCTAATTAAATAAATATTAATTAAAAATTAACAAATTTAATATTAAAATTAGCCGAGTTTTAAATCACTAATCAACTATATTATCGATTTCTAAATTTAATTACCATGCCTCTTCCTAAAATTTTTTCAAGGTCCAAATCCAAATAAGTATAAGAGATTTATTTATAAAAAGTAAGTAGACATATATTTTATAATCATCTATTATATATAATTAGCTATAAAATATTAGATAAAATGCCACTTTTACAGTATTTAACAGTTATATAATATATTACAGTTAAATGCTTTTGATAATAAATATAAGTAATAATTTGCATTCATTTATTTAACTCCATCTATTTATTTATAAATATTATTATTCATCCCACAATGGATGTAATAAATTATATATCTTTTCCTCTCTTTTTTTCTTATTTGAAAAACAGTTTTGAGCTAAACTTTTAATACGAGTATATTTTTGATATTTTTACAAACCACTATTATTTTAATATACAACTAGAGGTGTTGTAAATAATATATAATATCTTAATTGCTTTTATCATATCACACTTTTTCTTATTTTATAGTTATAAAATGCTTTATTTCTAATATGGCATCCCTGCCGTGTAAATAACTTAAGGCTTCTAAATATTTGCATAATATCTTCTAAAGATTTTTAGTGTTTTTGTTTTATCAATTTATATAAATTTTGATATGAGCTAATATCGTTAGTGTCATAGCTATGTCTGCAAATTAACCAGAATATATTATTTGTGTGTCTATGTAATTTAAGCTTATTACTACAGTTGCTGAGAGCATATGATTGCATATTTTATACAATAATGGTCAACTGTGTAGTCGTTTATATATCATTAAAATTGAAGATAATCTTTTATAAATTTAATATCTCACAATAATTTTCTCAATTATTTATCTAGCTTCCATCATGTCATCTAAGAGGAAGCTCTAACTACCATATAGTTTTATGATTTGGATTAGCCGTTTATATTATATTCTCTTCTTCAAGAATTGTTAATTTGGTTAGGCCTATAAATTTTTCCTTATTCCATTCTATAAAACATTGTCTAGGGATGTTAACAGAGTTATATTAGTTTCACGACCTTTTATCAATATAAGTTGCTAAGAATTATATTGTAATATGAGGTTTTTAAAAACCATTATCAATTTATGCTTATGTATGAATTGATTAACCTTTTTTATCACTTGAAATTTAGATGCAAAATTTATTTATATCAGTAATCGAAAATATTTTATATTGTAATAAATATATTTTGTATTAAAAAATATTATTTTTAGAAATGTATTGTTTTAATTATTTATATGCTAGTTTATTTTGTATGCTTAATATAATAAACGACAAAATATAAAATTCAGAATAATGTTTCAGAGCTAGCAAATTTTTAAAAAGTATAATATATTAAGGGGGGGGCGAAGCCCTCATAAATTTTTTTTAATTGAGCCCCATGAGATTGTAAAGGCTACCGACGCCCCTGCATGTAATAGAATATAATGATAATGCCTCTAAAAATTGTTGTGATTATAAATAATGATAAGCCATTTGTTTAAAATATTTAAAAAAATAGATAATTTATTATTATTTTGATTAATTAATATATTTGATTGAATTAGATTATTTTTATATAAAAATTATTATTTTAATTTTTGGATATTTGACAAAATAAAGAAAATAGTATATATTGTAAGTTTATAGGTTAAGAAATGTTTTCGATATTTAAACAAGATTTGTGCTTATATGTTAAAGGTTATTGTGAATTCAAACGTTAAGAAAAATAAACCAAGATATAGTAAGGCATAGAATATTGGTGCCGTGACAAAACCGAACAGTGTTTTTTTAAATTTGAATGGAATTATACAACTAGTACTGGGAAATTATAATCGAATAATATCGAGAGCGTTAAATTTAAATAAAATATACGAGAAATATTATTGATAAAATTGGAGTAAAATTTGAGTTAAATTTGCAACTATTGATGATAAATTAGCATTAAATTTATTAGATAGGTGAGTTTAAGCAAGTTTTAAAACGGATTATAAATTGAATTGATTTTATGTAAATGTGTATTATTGGGGTATTTACTTTATATTCTATCCTATCTGTTAACTTTAAAAGTAATTAAGATATTTATTTTAAAAGTAATAGAGAATTTTTTGTAAAAATGAAAAGTTAAAATTTATAAAATATTGGGAGGTTCAATATAATATTGTGGGAGCGTTGATTATATTATGTATATGGGTGTGTAGTATAACCATTTAAATAAATTAGAAAGATAAGAAGAGTAGGGACAAATCTTGACTAGAGGGGCATAATTTAGAGGATGATATGATATGAAAAGTGACTTGATTGTCTGTCCAAGAGTTAATAAGAGGTTGAACTAATAGTGAGATATTGGGTTTGCAATAAAATAAATTATTAAATAGACCTGATGGTAGAGATGTATAAAGTTTGTTTAAAAATAGAATTGAAATTAAACTTGTTATAATTGTGGTAGGGGCCATATGGTCAGAGATTATCAATAAACAAAATGTTTTGAGTATGTAAAATATGTTCATATAGCTCCGTATTGGCCACGGAA